CACCACAAACACCAAAAAACCCCCAAACAAAACCAAAACAAAAAAAAACCCCATTCGTTCCACATAACAAAAAGGAATTATTATGCAGGTAGGAAACTGCGGATCTAGGATCCCTGAGAATTGGAGGGGAGGCGGGGCCCCAGGGTCAGAACCCGGTTGACACCCAGGTGGGCGACCTCGGCTCCCGGCCTGGGGGTGAGGGGGGCCTCCCCTCCTGAACCCCTGGGACCCGCGGGTGAGCCACACATTCGGAGAGACGTCCCCCCGGATGGAAAGGCGGCCGCGGCCCGAAGAACCGACAGTCGATGGGTTTCGGTGGCAAAGACAGGAACAGGTCTCTGGCCAGCGCCAGGCAGAAAAGCCACTGGGGAAATCCCGGGAAACCACAACTGATGGGATGAAACTCGATCCGTGCACCGAGAAACTCCAGTTCATTCATTTAAAGCGCCCTCTAGCCGCGATGCCTGAGGTCTCGACTTTTCGTGGCTGATGCACAAGAACTTGCAGAATTTTTAAAAATTGAAGTCTCAGGCACTGACCTCTCTTGCCTTAGAGATTGTCGAATTAAAACAAACAAACAAAACAGACAACAGCCAACACAACAACAGCGGATTCTAGTGAATGAATCACAATCATACCTATTTTTATTTTTTTTTGGTCCGATCAGCAAAAAAATATACATATTTGGGGGGTTCAGATTAGCAAAAATTCTATTTTGGGGTGTGCGCTGCAGAATTTTGGTAGTTAGCATAGTGTGCCCGGGGGCGAACGGGGTGGCGCATCGCTGCTCCATTCAACAGGCTCTGGAAATGCGGCCAGGGTTGCTCCGCGCATGCGCGCTGGGGTGCGGTCTCCCCCCACCCTCATCCCCCTCCCTAGACCGGGGACCGGGATGTCCCCCGAGTGGGCAGCGGAGACCTGGCTCCGTCCTCTAGGGTCCCCCGCGTCTGTCTTTTCCTCTCCGGGCCCCACCCTGACCCCGACCCCGACCCCGGCAGGGC